CAGCCTTGTATCTAGCGCTAATCTGTACTGTAGACCTGGCTAGGCTACACAGCAGTTTTTAGGTCTGATATTGTCACTACAACAGAATTGGAGATATCAGAGGAATTTTATTATATTTTCTTTGTTTCATTTTTCTTTTTCTGTCTGGCAGGGTTTTCCCCCCACCTTTTGGCTCTTTAGGTCTTTATCTTTTTTTTTTTTTTATTTTTGCTCTGTTTATATTTTTCTTTCCTTACAATCTCTGTTGATTTTATATTTTCTTGTGAATAAAAATTATCTTTAGTCTCTCTGATCTTCAATAATCTTTCGCTTTCTCCACCATTCTCTCTGTCCCGCTCTTCTCTAGTTTCCCAAGGCCTGCATGCTCATCCTTTGTCCTACTGCCTTGCGTCTATTATATTTACTTCATTTAGCTCTCTGTTTTGTCCCCATCCTTCTTAATTTTCCCATCAATTTACTAAGGGAAGACTCTTGGCATACAAATTGCGGAATTATGTTGGATTTTGTTATATAATTGTAGATTTTGCCCCTCTGGTTGTAGGTACCAAATTAATAGCTATCATAGTTTGTCACATTCTAGGTTGTCCTTGGTGTTGTTGCTCTTATTACTTGTGCTACTCTACCCAGGATGTCATACCTGCTGTAATTCATTGTTCTCCCTTATACAACAACACTGGGATTGCTGGAATCATAACCAGAATAATAGTACAGCATCAAAGGTCTGAGTGCTGAGCCAAATAGATAGAAACATTTATTTTTAATAAATTGGTAAAGTAGGATCTTGGGATAGGCACAAAGACCAAGAACCACCCCACCTCAAAGACATATCTGAGGAACAGACATTTCCTAGGGAGGGATCAATACTGGTGATAAAGCTATATTTACTTTAAGAAATTTAAAAGTGGCAAAATAGAAAACAAAATAAAATAAAATAATTAAAAATGACAAGATTCAAAAGAAAAGTTCAACCCCAGATGACCATCCACCCAAGAGACACCCAAAGGACAATGAGATAAGGGAAATAAGAAGCCACACACCCTCCTGAATTATCTGGAATGATAGAAAAACAAAGTAAAAAGAACCCCAGATGAATGAGGCTATCGATGAAGTCAGAAAAAAATATCTTTCAGTAGAAAAGAGATGGCAACCATAATGAAGGACTTCCTCAGCAAAACTAGAGTATATGCAGAGATGGACAGATGGATGGATGGATGGATGGATGGATGGATGGATAGATAGATAGATAGATAGATAGATAGATAGATAGATAAGCTTAGGAAAATTGTGGAAACCACGAAAGCCCAATATAAGAAAGAAATGAAATCTATGGAACAGATTCGAACAGCTATCCAGGAAATTAAAAATTCCACTGAAAGTTTACAAAACTGACTGAGTGAAAGGGAAGACTATTAGACTTAGAAGAGAGAGCTGGGGTTAGCAGTCACCAATGATCTCTTAAACACAGCAAGACACTAGAGGAAAGCAAACCAACACCTGCAAAGAATAACAAGTAAGATTGAACGGAGCAAATGAAAAAAAGCAGAAGTCGGCACAAAAGACCTGAAAACCTATTTACAGAAGTAATGGCAGGAGGCTCCCTAAGCACGGAAAAAAGAATTTGACACACATAAGTGAGGCACAGAGACCTTCAGTTAGCCACAGCCAAAATAAACCTACAGGAAGTCATATAGTAAGAAAAATTCCAGAAATTCAGTATAGGAACAGAATATTAAAAGCTGTTAGAGATTAAAAATATCACATATAAAGGAAGGACCATCAGAATCACTGTAGGTTTCTCAAAACAAACTTCTAAAATAAGAAGAGTGTGGAATGAGCTATTTTAAATCCTAAAAGAAAACAACTTCCAACCCATATGGATACACCCTGAAAAACTATCTTTTAGAATTAATAGAGAAATAAGAGTTTCTGACAAAGAACAACTGAAGAAATTTATCACCACCTACCTGCTATGAAGGTGTTCTTGAAGATATTCTAGAAAGAGATAGCAAAGACAAAAATTCCAAGAACACCAATAGAGAGGCAAGGAAAGCTTTTAAATGGAGTAGAAATAGAGAACCAACCACAAGAAATATTATGACAAAGATAAGCCAATACAAGTCAGTTATAATCATCAATCTAAGATATCAATTCACAAATCAAAAGAAACAGACAGGCAGAATGGATCAAGAAGCAACATCCAACAATACGCTATATACAAAAATGCATTCAACTCAAAAATAAATTCATTGACTCAAAGGATGGAAATCAACACTGCACGCAACAGGAACTCCCCCAAAAATCAGGTGTAGGTACTCTATTTTGCATACAATGTGAACTTCAAACCAAGGATGATCAAAAGAAATGAAGATGGTCACTACATACTTGTTAAGGGAAAAGAAGAGATGAAAATCATAAATATATATGCATCAAATATAGGAATATATGAAATAAATATTAATGGACATGAATAATCAAGTAAACACTATTCCAATTATAATAGGAGACCTTAATACCTCACTGACACAAATACATAGATATACCAGAAAAAATCAACAAAAATATTAGAACTAAATCAATCTGTGAACACATGGATTTAGCAAATATCCAGAGTTTTCTACCCCCAGCATTAAAATATATATTCTTTTTAGCTGCACATGGGATATTTTCTAAAATAGACCATATACTAGCCTATAGAACATGCTTAAGTAAATGCAAAGCAAATGAACTATCCCATTTGTATTATCTGAGCATAGTGCACAAAAATTGGAAATCAACAGCAAAAGAAACTATAAAAACTCCAGAAACACATGGAAATTAAATAACACCTCTTGAACAACCAGTGGGAGAAATTAAGAAGAAATTAAATAGTATATACAATTAAATGATAATTCTGATTCAACATATCAGGACTTACGGGATTGAATGAAAGCAGTTCTGAGAGGGAAATTCATAGCAATGAATTCTCACATTAAGTAAACAAAATCAGCTCAACTAAACAACCTAATAGTGAACCTCAAACTTCTAGGAAACGAACAAGTCAAGCCCAAATCTCACATGAGGCAGGAAAGTATTTAATAAGATCAGAGCAGAAAATAATGCAATAGAGACTGAGAAAACGATAGAAAGAATCAATGAATCAAACAGTTGGTTCTTTGAAAGATAAAATAAAATTGATAAGCCCTTAGCCAACCTTATCAAAAAAGGAAAAGAAAAGACTCAAATTCAGTTAATTAGGAATAAAAAGGGTGAAATTACAGCAGATGTTGTGGAAATCCAGAAGATCATCAGCACATACTTTAAAAGCCTCTACTCTAAAAAAAACGAAAAGCACAGAAGAAATGGATAGATTCCTAGATACACAAGGTTAATAAAGTCAAATCAAGAAGATATAAAAATTCTAAATGACTTAGCATTACTCAATGAAATTAAAGGTGTAATTAAAAACATACTAGCAAAGAAAATCCCAGATTTAGATAGAATCAGGATTGAATTCTACAAGAATTTTAGAGAAGATCTAGTACTACTACTCCTAGAAACATAAAATCAAAAGGAAAGAACTACTTCTAAAGTCATTCCTGGAAGTATTACCCTGATTCCAAAATCAGAGAAGGACTCAACCAAAAATGAGAACTGCAGTCCAATTTCCCTAATGACATAGATATAAAAGTCTTCAAAAATATAAGGCAAACAGAATGCAGCAAATCATAAAGAAGATTATATGTCATGATCACGTAGGATTCATTCTGGAAAGATAGGGATTATTCAATAT